TTAGATCAGACTTTAAAAAAATTAAGTAACTGATATTGTGCTAAAACAATCTAATAGGAAAAATCATCAAGATCTCTACTCTATAAGTGTAAATCTGAAATATATGGACCATAAACAAAAAGAAAGGAATAGTCACTGTATACTTTCTACATGAGCTCTACCTATATATTCTTGTCTGTCAACCACATTGTCTTTTCCTAAAGCCCAAATTTAAAATAGTAAAATAACAAATACATTTAAAACCTAGTGCCTATATTTTGGTCTGAAATGGTATTCTCCATTAAAAAGCACTAAGAGTTCTTGGAGAATAACTGATTCCATTTCCTAGAGATTAAAAAAAAACAGAAAGAATTTCAAGGTGGGTCTAAATCATCTTGTTCTAAGAATAAAGGATTTTTAAAAGGCTTTTAAAATTCTGGATGGTGTTAAAAATCATAATCAACCTTTCCCAATAGCCAAATATGACAATTTGACCATCAAAAATAAACAAATTATAGTTACTTAATTTTAGGTTAGGAATAAAAAATCAGATTTAATTGTTCATAATGTACATTTTCAATCCCTAAGAACTTCACAATATGTTAGGAGAAAACAGGGACCCTCCTCTACCACAGAGCTAGTTTTTACATTTTTTACTTTAATTTTATATATTTGTCATGTCCAAATAATGCATATATTTGTATATGTACATTATGAATCATAACATGAATAGTACACCCATCACCCAAAATTAGAGAGAGACAGAGAAAGAAAGATATAACTTGGCAATTTCTTTGGTGCTCTCCAATGGCTTGCTCTGACGTAATGAACAGAATCAAACAAAAATGATCTTGGGTGTTCTCTCTGTATCTTCTTGGGGAACCAGACAATATGGCCTAGATCTCGTCTCCCCATAAGAAGGACTGCATATGAACTCAGGTGGCCATGGTACTATTACTTTCTTCCAACTAAAGTTTCCCATGTGAGTCAAGTCACATATGAGTCAAGTCCAAAGTATCAAGTCCCCAGATACTGGGTAGTTGACTTTCTTGGACAGGTCTTATAGTTGCACCTAAACAAAGACTAGTGCCCCAGTGATTTCCCTACTGACAAGATTCCTTTTAAGTTTGCCCTGTAAGAAGGGAGAGCCACAGAGGGATGGAATTCCTCTCCTATAATACAAATTCACACTGAAGATCCAACACATTGCTCTGACCCCAACGTACTTCTCCTTGAGATGATGGCAGAATGGGGGAATTGTGTTTTTCTCCTTAGTTTTGTAAGTAGGCTTCCCTTTTCACCAATAAAACCTAACCTTTAACCCAGTGGTTCTTTTAAAATTATTATTATTTTTTAATGTTATTTTTGAGAAAGAGAGTATGAGTGGTGGAGGGGCAGAGAGAGAGGGAGAGACAGAATCGCAAGCAGGCGCCAGGCTCTGCGCTGTCAGCACAGAGCCCCACATGGAGCTTGAACTCAAGAACCATGAGATCGTGACCTGAGCTGAAGTGAGATGCTTAACCAACTGAGCCACCCAGGCGCCCTAGCCTAGTGGTTCTAACTTTGGTGTGGGCCAGATTTACCTAATGGGCTTCTTAAAACACAGATTGCTGTGTCCCACTACCGGAATTTCTGGGTCAGTAGACCTGCAATGGGGTCTGGGAATTTGCATTTCTAGCAAGTTCCCACATAATACTGTTATTATGGTTAGGTGACCACACTCTGAGAACCTCTATCTTAAATCATGCACTGTGTCTATGTGGAAATCAGCTCTGTTGTCTACCACAAAGGATCCCGTTGGCACAAGCTTCACCTAGGAGTTAATCATTGTCCTTTATTCTCCTCTACTTGGTTTTATAGTTTTATCATATATGTAGGAATCCTTAACCAATAGATTTAGTTTTATAAAAGTTTTATAAAAATGGCATTTTTTATTAAGGGTCTCATATGATTTATTCTTTTCACTCATCCATCCAGGGTATAGATATAATTAATTCATTTTCACTGTTTTGTGATATCATTGTGTGAATATAACTACTGATGGACATTTGGCTTGTTCTCAGGTTTTTGCTAGGAAATTGGTATGAAAGCTGCTTCTTTAATCATAGAATTAACCTTGCTTTTTGAAAGGACTCAGTCTAGAGGGAACTCTCCCTCCCTTAGACCTTTCCCTAAATTCTAACATCCTCTTCCTGAGACACCTATGGTGTGTCTTCTACCTTGCTAAGTAAGTAATGAACTCAGCTTGTTCAAGTACATGGGCCTCTGTGGTCTTTGGCTGAAGGGTTATATATCAAATATCTTAACAATCCTTGTTGTGCCTTTTGGTGAATACCAGTTCTTAATTTTAGTTCAAGTTTTCAATGTTTTCCCTTTATAGTTGGTGCTTTTATGTCATATTTAAGAATTCCTGTTGGGGCACCTGGGTGGCTCAGTCGGTTGAGTGATCAATTTCGGCTCAGGTCATGATCTCACGATTTGTGAGTTCCGGCCCCGCGTTGGGCTCTGTGCTGACAGCTCTGAGCCTGGAGCATGCTTCGGATTCTGTGTCTCCCTCTCTCTCTGCCCCTCCCCTGCTCATGCTCTGTCTCTCTCTGTCTCAGAAATAAACATTAAAAAAAAAAAAAAAAAGAATTCCTGTCTTACTCTAAGATCATATGGATATATATTTTTAATATTCAAACTTTTGTCTTGAGTTAATCTGAAATTCATTTGTATGTATGACGCCATATGCATGTAGAAATCTAATCTCATTTTTTCCCATGTGGTAACCATTTCTCCTAGCAGCAATGTATTCAATAGCCATTCCTTTCTGTGCTTTTCCCCACTTGCATGCAGAGCCATCTCTGCCATATATCAAACTTCTATTTATATATGGGTTAAATTAGAGCTTTTCTGTTTTTAAAATGTCATAAGAAATAGTTTAAGACTTTAAGATTGAATGTTTCAAGGCTTGTGAAATACTGTTTAGATAAGTACATAAAACAATGTGTAAAAGTTAATATTTTATTGGTATCCGTTGATGCAATCATTCAGTAATAAACTTATCAAGTTTTTTTAAAGGATAATTCATTCACAGTGCAGAAAGTTTAGTAAGACTGTGGTAGGCTGGAGAACAATTTAAATGCAGAGGTGTGTATGTGCTTAACAAAGTGATTGCTAACAGATTTTTTTAGAGCCCCAAACAACACAAAGTATCCCTTTTACTATCTTCCATACGTACATTTTCTCACTTGTATTTTTACATAGTCAGAGAATCTAGACTTTAAAATTTTATATGAAAGAAATGCATAAATCCTCTCTTTTGAAGCATAGAAAGTCTGAAACAAAATGGTAAGAGTAAGAATAGAACCAAAGGGGAGAGAATGCCAAAAGTAAGGACGAGGGAAAATAAATCTAAGAATGGCTCCCAGTATTCAAAGTTAGAGAACCTTGAGATGATAAACCCCTGACAAAATTGGGTAAGGTACTGAGGGATGTCCTGTTTGGGGGACAAGATTATATTTTTTTTCTCTCAAGTCTGCTGCTTCTAAACTTTCCTCAGGGAAATTTTCAGGAGGCTTGAAATTTGTGTTAAAAGCCTGCAAAAGTAAAAAGTTAAAAATCCAAATCCAGGGTGACTGGACGGCTCAGTCAATTAAGCGTCTGACTTTTGGTTATGGCTCAGGTCATGATCTCATGGTTCATGAGTTCAAGCCCATCAGACTCTGTGCCAACAGTGTGGAGCCTGCTTAGGATTCTCTCTCTCCCTCTCTCTCTGCCCCTCTCCTGCTCTCTCTCTCAAAATAAATAAACTTTAAACTCCAAATCTGTAGGTGGCAAGTAGTTCATAGGTGCTTAAATTTCATGTAAATTCATTGTGTTCTTATCTTCTTTTTTAAGCATCAGATTCCAGTAACTTATATTCTGAGTCTAGAGAAAGTAGCCTGGAGAAAAATAATTGGAATAGGAGTTAAGAGATCATAATTTTAATCACAATTCTGCCACTCATGTATGTGGGCAGAGGGTTAAGTGCGTGGGCCTCAGATTCCTTAAATATGCAGGATGAACTACATCACTTTCATATCTCCTTCCGGAGCTAAAGTTCTAAGTCTCCTTAAGCAATTGTAAAATGTACCCATGCAAATCCACGCTATCCTACAGCTTAGTTGCAGCCAAGCATTCGTCATATCAGTCATAGAGTGATTTCTCCCTAGGTCTCAAACCATGGAGTGTACCCGATCTACACTCTTTTGGTGGTGTTAAGGTTGATAGGATTTGGAGCACTACAAGAGTAAGGCCAAGCTCCCAGGCCAGGATATCGGTCTGATCAGGAAATCTCCAAAACAGGAACACCAAATGATGCTCTGACAGCCTCCATAGTAACAAAAGGCCAGTGTTGCAAGACGCATGGGCTCACACCTGCTTCTCCCGGGTCATTCTTTCCAGTAAGGGCACATCTTTTTCTTTCTTTCTTTTCTTTTTTTTAAATTAAATTAAATTAAATTAAATTTATTTATTTAATGTTTATTTTTGAGACTGAGACAGAGCAGGAGCAGAGAAAGGGAAGACACAGAATCCAAAGCAGGCTCCAGGCTTCTAGCTGTCAGCACAGATCCCCACGGGGACTCAAACCCATGAATCCTAAGATCATCATATGAGCTGAAGTGGGATGCTTAAGGGACTGAGCCACCCAGGCTCCTCCTCCCACCCCCCACCCCTTTTTTTTTCCATTCACAGGCGCAAGGCTTTTTTCTTAAGACGAAGGCCTATTTCTTTGGTGATTCACTCAGACCGCAGGTACCGGATAAGAGCCAGAGAGGTGGCATCACCGGCGGCAAGATGTCCCGGCAGTCACAAGAGAAGCTCACGGGGCGATGACAAGGCGGTGGAAGGGGCGCGCCCGGGGCACGCTGGGAACGCGGGGCGCCGCAGCCGGGCCTGACCCGGAAGGGCTGGCGCTTGGTAACCCCGGCTTCCCTAGCAACCGAGCAGGTGCTTGTCCTAAACAGCCGAATCCTCGGTTACTACCGCCTCCCGAGATGCCTCTGCAGGTTAGCGATTACACCTGGCAGCAGACGAAGACTTCGGTGTTTATCTCTGTGCCCCTCCGAGGCGTCTCCGTCAGAGATGCGGACGTGTTCTGCACGGAAAACTATCTGAAGGTAGGAACTCGAGCTGTGCCTGAAGGGCCCTCGGGGACGTGATCCGAAGACTGCATGGGCGCGTTGTTGCAAATAAGCGTCCTAAAATTTAGTTCTATTTTTTCAAACCGAATTCCATCAGGTGACAACTCATCTTTAGACAGATGTCATCAGATCAGACCTTATTCTTATCTAGGATTTCCTCATATGCCTTGTTAATCTTATGGGACCTCGAATAAATTTATAGCAGGCATGTCAGAAAATGATTTTGGCCCCTATCCCTTTTTTTTTCCTTAAAGGCTTAGTCTTTATTTTGTGTAACTAAATTAACCTCCGTTTACCGCCCCCCCCCTTCTGAATAGGTCAACTTTCCTCCATTTTTATTTGAAGTGTTTCTCTGTGCGCCCATAGATGATGAGAACAGCAAAGCCAAGATTGGGAATGACACCATTATATTCACCTTATATAAAAAAGAAGTGGCCATGTGGGAAACCCTTTCACTGTCAGGTGGTAAGTGTTTTTATTCAAAGGTGTTCATCTGGTTGTGTGTTTTGTATTTTATACCTTTAAAAAAAATTCTCTTTGAAAACAGTTGTTTTTCTAGTAGAAGAAAAATAGGAACATGAACATGGTTTAAATGATATAGTGCTTCAGCTGACACTTAAGATAAATTAAAGATTGAATAATTCAAAAGTTAGAGCGCATTTGTATTAGTTCTGAAGCAGATGTGGACTTGTATCTTCAGAGGCTAAGGTCTCTTGATATGACCTTATTTTGTGTAGGCATTAACACATCTGGTAATCCTAGGAACACCCTATTAGGTTACCATCCCCTGCCCTGCCAGTTTTTTTTGTTTTGTTTTGTTTTGTTTTTTTTTAAGATTAGGCTACCGAGGCACGGAAGGGTTGAATAATTGGCACAGGTCACACAACAAGTAAGTGGCAGACTGGAACTGCAGCCCTAGCAGTTTGACTCTAGAGCAGTGATTCTTTGACTCATCTACAAAACTTTTAAATAACACAGATGTCTGAAACTCAGCCTAGTTCAATCAAATCAATTTATGGGAGTGCGACACAGGTATCGGCAGTTTCAAAAAAACTTCCCAGGGATTATAATGTACAAAGCTGAGATTCCCTGTTCTCTATTCCCTTAATAGGTACTCTGTTCTTCTACCAAGATTGGCTTTGTGGGTCAGTAATTGCCCTCTACTGCTTTACCTCTATTTCCTTCCTCCCTGTTGTAGTTGTCTTATATTCTAGGGGTTTATATCTGTTGTCTGAAATTTCTCTTAGGTCTCTGGCGTTAAGCCTTGAGTAGGAATTACTGAGAATGGGGAGATGAATATCATTCTTGATATTACTCTTTTCTTGGTATTTTGCATTGGGATTTAATTTTGTAATCCCCAGGACCAGGTAGATTTTTCTCTAAAGTCTGGTGTTCAGCTCAGAAAATACTGGTTAAGGTAGGTTACCATACTGAGGTTACTTTAATTCTTTAGTGATTGCCAGACTAACTGAAGAGTTTT